AAGCTGATTTGGAGCCTATTAGAACTCTGTTAACATTGATTTGGTGATTACATTATGCTGTCAATTCCTAACACTAACAAAGGTTTCTTGTAAGGCTTGATAGCCTTTTGTTTTTTATCCTGCACATCCTGACTGGTTAGGGGGATATATTTACCCTTCAGAGTTTATTCTCTCCCCCAACCTCCTCTTATATCTTCAGATATCATGAGAGTGGTGTTTTGTTAATCATATTGCTTGATACTTTTATTTTCAAAGCGTTTCTGGTATTTTTGTTAAATTTATTTTCCGTCGAAGTCAAATTTCTTAATAACCCCATTGTTTTGTACCTTTTGATTGAATTCAGATTCATGATGACTGCAAGTTGTTGCCTGATGGTCAGGATGTCAGGGAAGAAAAGGCTGTTTGTTACAGTTTATTTAACAGGATCGCATACATGAAGAAATCAAAGTTATTACTTCATCAGTGCATAAAATATGTATTTGTATCAGGTGTTGAGAGAATAAATGATTTAACTATCTGAGACCGGGAAGCCAATTCCATGTCGTTTAGTTGGGAAGACAACGAACAACATACTGCATATTACCCCAATTCCGACCGGCAGTGCTGTGAGGACCTCTTCTGTTCCGTCTGATGGCTGTGGGTAAAAGCAGCTCACCGCATTTTGATCAAACAGTGAAATGGCTGCAAAAACCAGTATTGACATCAAGGCATGGACAAAATCTATAAATTTCAGCTTGTACTTTGCTGCCACCTCAGGTGGTAGAGTTGCAGATCCATCAATGATCCACAAGCCACGGAATGTGGCAAACCCATAACTGACATTCCCCTTCGGGTCCTTGAAGCTATCTGTGAAACTCAATAAAAAACACGACAATCCACATAGGATTACCAGACCGGCAGTTAAGGATCGACTCACTGCATCACAATCACCTTGGTTTGAAAATATTGGCGACAGAAGTTGAAAAGCAAGCACTGAGCCGGTGGGTAGAAGATTGGCCAAGTGGGCCGTGCTTGCAAATGTCTGACTAATGGCTTTTTGTACGAGGTTTTTCTGTACTTCGGGTATGGTTGATTTTACCAATAAGGGAATTTCTTCATCAATTATGTTCCTAGACGACTCGTTTACTTCCTTAATCTCCATTGTAGGAGTTCTGTGCTGTTGCGTCTATTTGATACTTGACAGGATTGTTGTTAGCAAGATTATTCTGGTAAGATGCATTTATAGGTTATCAAGTTATTGGATTTGAGTGGAAGGGAAGGAAAATGTGAGTTAGCAATGCCTTGCAAGAAACAGAAACATAAATGCTTACAACAGGATTACATGGGAGTTTGTTTTTCAGGTTCGGCAGTGTTGTTTAGTTATCTAAAAGTTCGGCAAGACGGTTGAATTAAAGTTGAGCTGAAGTTATGGAGCTTGCCTTTTGGGTAAGGTCTGGCTTTCCTTTTCCCTTTAACAGCAAACTCTTGCGTATTTTTACTTTTAGGACTTGTTTTAGAAGTTCCATTTTATTTGCTTTAAGATAAGATGTTGGCTTGAAGTGTATTGCAATCCCACTCATTTAATGTATAGCCGAAATTTAGAAACTTTGGCAGTTTGCAAATTTCATGTTCTTTTGCTGCTTTTACTCTTTTTAGCCCTATGCTTACTTTTTAGGCCATTGTTTAACACTTTTTTGGCGAGTAATGCTGTTCACGGTGAGGACTACCTGTAATTGCTCTACACCAATGCATGTGACCGTTTGTTATTTGATACACGAGACAATAAAAAACTACCATATTAATACATCATATAACAACTGTCGCATGTATGTCAAACAGGAGTGGACCTAAACTTTTTGTATTGTGGGTCAAAAATTAAAATGCATATAATGTCAAGATTCATAGTCAATAAATCAACATATATTTTTTTAGAGTAACAATAAATGGATGATGGATGGAAAACATGTTGGCATAATATCTAGCATTTCTAAATTAGAGTGCAAAATCATCTTACACAAATGAAATTCGAAGAAAATAAAGGCAATTTTACAAGACCTCGTTTTAAAAGCAGATCATTCACATATTCACTCACATAAAATACCCATTGAAATAGAAACTAGTTTTGAAAGCCGCAATTTTAAGACAAAAAATAAGCGATGAAACTCTAAAAGGCAAAAACATTATCCTTAAGTGCTTCATGTAAGTGTTTTCTAAAGAGGAATGTGAGACAAAATTTCAAGGATCCAAATGTAAGATTTTACAAATATATATTCCTTTTTAAGCCCAGCCCAACATGCTCTATGTCAAATGGGAACAAGCTATTTTTCCCTGAGTGATTTTTTCGGGCCCAATATTTCAACAATTCCAATCCATCTTGGGACATGTTGCATGCATCTCCAACGGACCCACCTTATCAGATTTAAGTGTTGATTTTCAAAAAGGAAGAAATTCATATATACTCATCAATAATAAAATATTTCATAAAATACTACTTTCATAGTTAAATCCATTATATACTACACAGTGGATGTATTTTTTCCAGATTTACTGTTCACGTTTTTAAAAATATTTATAGGGTTAAATACATCAATGTCCGCACAATTTTATACTTGGGCGTTGTTTGTTCTACATTTTTCCCCATTTGTATAAGAATTGTGACCGTTGCACCGATTTCTAGCCGACATTTTGACCAAAATGTGTGATAATGGGACCCGGCGGTTTGAAAAAAATGGTCACAAAATTTCTACTAATTGGAAGAAAATGTAGAACAAACGGGGGCTTAGTGTCACGATGGCCATCAAATATGATTTTGTTTTACCGCCTTTTAAATTAGGAAAAATGGTAAAAAGAAGTTGGATGACCTAGTGAAATATTATACGCTGTTTGATGTAATGTCTAAAAAAACATGTTGAAACAATAAATGTTGATAGTCTTGTTCGTCTTTGTCTGTAAACTGTTTGATGTAATGCCTGAAATAACATGATGAACAAATAAAGATTGTGGTTAGTTACAATTTTAAAGCAACATAGAGATATCTGATGGACTATTCTCCTTGGTAGATTTCTCTCTCTCTTTTTGATTTAAGTTAAAAAAATGAACACAGTATGTGATTTATCATCTGGAAAACTGTGAATTACTAATAGGGATATGCTTAAAGCTAAATTCAATGATCAACTCGTATCACAATGAAGTGATGTGATCAATATATTATGTTCATTATTGTTTTGATTTGACTACGTATTTTGAACATATTATTTGATGTGTTGTGATTTTTCTACCAATGTTCGCTCTTCTTACATTGTATGCAATATAATGAATATATGGAAGTTATTGCATAAACTTTGCTCGAGTTGTGCTTTTCTACTCCTTTAGAATGGTTTACATATCCATTGATAAAGATCATTGATTTGATATACAGAAAATTGATTTCGCATAATGATATATGAAGGTGAGTGATCTATGGGTTGATTTGTGATTTTTTGGATTATGGGGATTTTGAGTTTGGTGTAATATGGTTATGTGGAATTGGGGGTTTCCTTTGGTAAAGATGAAAATTTTGGGATTTCGAACATTAATTGAATAAATTAAATTCGTGGCTTGTTTGGTGGAGTAATAGAAGTTGTCAAAAAAAAAATTAATTGATATGGTTGTCTATTGTTTTTTCATTTTTACTTTATAAAATCAGTAATAATGGTAGAAAAAAAAAAGTTGTAATGTATTTTATTAATTGTTATTTTAAAATGAGTATTACATGCAATTTCCTCTTTCAAATATGATGGAATTAGTTGTTGTTATTTTAAAATAAGTATTACATGTAATTTCCTCTTTCAAAAATAGTGGAAATTATGCCACACACCTACTTTTCTTTTAATATTTCTGATTTACTATTCATCATTTTATTAACCATAAATACTGCCTTTTGAAGAGTAAAAATAGAAAGTGAAAAAGTATCAAAACAATAAACAATTTAGGACATAGCTAAGATTACTCCTTCAAACACGCCCTTAAATTCATAATGCTTTGAATAAACAATTTAGGACATAGCCAAGTATTTTCATTTTTTTAAATTTTTTTTGACTACTTATCTTGAACAAACCAACGCCGCAGGTCATCATGCTATCGTGTAGTTAGACGTAGCCTTTTTTTACGGTTTCCTTTTTATTTTTATTTTTGAGATGTCCAGAAGTAACTTATAAATTCAGTTATCTCCCCTTCAAAAAAAAAAAAATCAGTTATCTCATAGACTTGTGTTCTACAATGTGTTTTGGTAATTCCAGATTAGTATGCTATTTTATCAATTTAATAAATAGCTAGGCATATTCTAGTATATATTCTACGTAATTTTCAAGTTCGGACGTCTTCTTGTAGTTTGTTGATTTTTTTTTTTTT